AATGATTTTATGTTTTTACGTTTGTATGTTTGTATGTTGGTGTTAATGTGTGCGCATACGTAGGCAGGTGTGAATGTGTATGCATATTTGTTTCTCTTCGACTCCAGACCGGCTAGGGAAATGCGTGTGCCTGTTTCCGTGTGTATGAGTGAGTGTGCATACTTATATGTTGCTTGTGCCTGCCCACGTGCATGCATGTATGCGTGTATGTGTCTTTTATGTTTAAGCTCAAGAGTAAAGAAAAGTGGGCGTGGGACGAACTGAAGCTGGTGATGTAAAAGGGTCGGGGTGGGGGGAGGGGAGTGTATGAATGGGGAAAGGTGTCAAAAATATTCTCATCCAGGCAAGACCGCAAGTTTCTTTTCCCTCAACCCACTCATGGGGTCTTCTTTGGTGGTCTATTTATTTTTCTTTCATTGGTCTCGCATTATGCTACATGGACGGGAGGATTATATTGTGAAGAAGAAGTGAGATTTGTTGCATAAATACAGCAGCCCATTTTATCTATTTGCTCGCCTACCTCGGCCATACAACACGAAGCGGAGAGAGCATTTTAATAAGTCTGTCTCTTCATAAGTAAGCAATGCTTGTTTGCGGAAAATGAAATAACTTCATGAAATATTAACAAATCCTGAATAAATTAAGTAGTACATGTCTACAGGTAATGATGACCTCAGCATAATCCTTCACAATTCTTCAATCAATACCTTCACACCCACACACCCACACATACACAAGCATACACGCATATACGATGCATACGCTTACATGCAATATAGGCAGCATGTTGTTGCAGGCGCGCATGTGTGTGCTGTTGTAACATTAAACAGTTCCGTCACTTTCGAGGCTCGTCTTGCAGACTGAGTTGTCGCGGCCACGAGGCTTCAAGTCCTATAGACACCAGGTTCCAGTGGTGTTGGGCAGGGAAACCACGAATCAGCATTTGCAAGACGAGACAACTTATGAAATCTCATATGGACACATGCGCCCATTTGTCTGCATGTGTATTCATACTCTTTCATATATGTGTTTGTGTGTGTTTGTGCATATGTGTATTATTTGCATGTTTGCGCATGTCTGCATAATGAAAAAGCCAGCTTAATAGCGACTGGTAGAGGACGCTAATCAGGCCTACTCCGAGGCTATCCGATTTCACTCCTACATAAGCTGGTAGGAAACCTTACTGGTTTCAAAGTGAAAAACTTATTTTTTATTTCTCATTAGATAGCATGAAGCTGGGACATATCTTCGTACCAACGCGCAGACGAGTTCGAGCATACTTGTTTCGATTTGTTTGCTTGCTGGGGGCTTGTATTCGCGTCCACTCGATGGACATGTGTGTATAT